AACATTCAAAAGGTGGAATATATAGATTGTTTAAGGCTAGGTTTAAATGTATCATATTCCTTTTTGTTTACTACTTCATACTCAGTTTAACCCATGAAACATTTGCTAATCGGGGGCCTTCTCAGCATCCTCTTTGAAAACTGACTTAAATCCACCTGGACCTACAGATAATGCCAGAGGCACCCCCACCTTCCTTTCCTGCTCATTCCTCTTCCTGTCTCTGCTCTGCTGTTCTTACAGCCACCATGGCAGCTGGTCAAGCCTATGGTTGCCTTCCCTTTTGTTCTCCGTGGGGTGAGCCACAGTGCTTAAATTCTTAAATTGACTTTTGTGGCTTGGCCTAACATTAGCAACAATTTTATATTTGTTCTGTGCTATAAAGTGTTCTCAGTGTCAAATGTTTTAACTCTGATTTGACATCTTTTTTGCAAATGTGATACCAAAACTGTAGTTATGGAAATATTTTGAAGTACCTAACTGGACTGAATCTTGCTCATGATAGTAGAGCTGATTAGAGAGTAAGAACTTTACTGATTCCTCTCTTTTCAGGTAATGAAGTAGACTGGCTCCTTTTTCCAAGAGTCATAACATTGTATCCAGGAAGAGCCACTTGGCATCCTGGAATAGCAGAACCTGGAAGTCTTTTTTTTTTTTTAATAATTTTTTTAAAAGCCTGTACAATAGAAACTTGAGCTGTGTGGAGATAAAGAATGTACCTGTTATCTATTCAGTTAATTTGTTAAGAAGGAAAACTACTATTTCTGGCTGATAATTTATGAACGCTTCAGAAGCAAAGAAATGGTAGGAAACAGACAATAGAAGATTGAATCAAAGAAAAAGCAGGTAACACAGCAGCAACATTTGGCAAACAGCTGAGCATCTGAGGCAAGTTAAAAGAATGTGGACCAGTGCTGAGAGGACCCGCTGGCTGCTGGCCCTGCTGGCTGCCAGCAGGGTGCTCTCCGTCTTGGCAGCCTGTGTCTGAAGAGGCCAGTAGTGTAAATGACGGTTACTGAGCCATGGTTCTGCCTGAATGCAGAGAGCACTTCAGCTCTTAAGAGTATGGGTCTTCCTAAGAGCAAAGAGTGTACCTAAGTTAGTGACCCATTATCAACTAAATACAAAAAGCAAATGGTTTGTTATATTGAATCATGTAGCTCTAGTTTGTGTTTTCCTGCAGGTTTCTAATCAGAAAAGTGTAAAGTTGCCTTTTGGAACCTTAAAAATATCTATTCAAGGTACTAAGAAACAATGAGAGAAAACAATCCCTTCCCTCATGAGCTTATAACTGAAGAATGCAGAGAACCAGAGCAGGTATTTATAATGAGGAAAATGCTGGCTGATGGTGTACAGCCACCTGACATAAAGATTTATGTAGCAAGCTGCCATCTCTCTGAGCCCTACAGATTAAGAAAGGTTTGGTAAAGGGTCCTCCTAGACAGGGAAACCCATACACGGGCCTGGAGGTGAGAGGCAGCTGGGTGACTAAAGCGTGGAGCAGGAAGAGGCACTGAAGTGATGGGATTGAGAGAGAAAGGGAGGCCAGTCCTCCAGAGCCCAGGAAGCAGGGGTGATGGTTCTGGACTTTGGCATGATGTTGGAAACCAATGAACCGAGGTCTGAGTGGCTGTAGAGAGGAGAATCAGCCCTGTCAGGGTTACAGTTGCTCAGGGAGCTGGCAGAGTGAGGGCCCAAGGGACAGACTTGGGGTGGCCAGGTCCTGAGTGGGCCAGTGGGCGGGGAGACAGTGGATAGGAGGCAGTGGCAGGGAAGAAGGGAACCTGAAAGGCATGCCAGGCCACCCTCTGGTGGATTTCTGTGTGTTTCACAGTTTTGTTTTCCCAAGACTGGACTTTTCTGGCTAAGACCTCATCGTAATTATTGGTGAAAGTTTAGTAGTCCTTCTGGTTGTGCGTCTGGGCACTGGAAAAAGTCTGCAAAGAAGACTTAGCAAGAAAATGAACCAACTGCAGGGCCACACACAGCAAGAAGGCCAGTATTAAAGGACTGAAATGGGTCCCTTGGACTGGGCAAACGGGCGGCTGGCAGCGAGCACAAGAGCTCTCTGTTGCGGCAGAGTGAAGGGAGGTGGGCAAACTGATGGGAGTCAGCAGGGCTCTGCAGGAACGCCTGCCCCACCTTCCCCACCTCCATCCAGAGCTGATAGGATCATGAACGCGCCCCTGCTCTCTGGCTCACGGCTCAGTGTTGGCCTGCCTGACTCCGGCCCCCACCTCTGGGCTTCTCAAAGTGAAGCTGCAGCTGTCCCTGTGCCTGCCCGCCCCCCACCCAACTCCTCTGGTACTGTTCTTTATCCTTCACATTTTCACTGACCTGTGCTATCTTCGGGGGAGGCTCCTCCATTTCCTGGGCTAGGGCAAGCCCCTTAAAATAAATTTAAATGTTTGCTTTCATCTTCCCAACTATACTATAAACTTGAGGAAAGGGGTTCATCTTTCCAAAACTTGCTCACACAATTAATGAGATGTGGATTTTGTTTAATTCTTATGGCAATGAGCTATCCTAGGAAAACTGAATGGAGGAGACAGAACAAGGCCACTAGGGCAGCAGGCAGGCTGCCTAAGGGAAAGATGTGTGGTGGTGAGAACACAGGATGGCCGAAGGGCAGAGGAGTTTGGAGGTGGTGAGTTAGGAGTCTGGGGGCCTTGCCCATTTGCTTCAGCTGATGAAATTGATTTTGACAATTACTGCAAATCAATCTAAGCACATCAAATATCAAATACCTTCAAATCTAAGGAGAATAGGGAACCAGACCTGGTGCTTTTGCAGTAAGAATCCGTAAAAAAGAACTTGAGATGACGGAATGTTTTTGTGATCCTACACAGCTGCCAAAGGTGTTAAAATTTGCTTTTGCAGAGATGAACTGATGCGCCTTGAGGTAGTAAATTGTACACTATGCGTTCACTTGCACTGAACTCCTGGACTAACACTGCCTTCCACCCTGTTCCAGCTTTTGGAGGATGGTGAAAGTTCCTATGCAGTAACTTGAGTTTCCAAACTACCACAAAGATAAAGGTGCAATTCCAGTTTAAAATTGTAAGCCAAGCTTTAAGGAAAGTGTGCTTTGGAATCACAGCTATTCTAGAACTTAGCAAGTGACATACTTGAATGAGCTTATCTCAAAAGAGCAGTGCAAGGAGATGTTACGCCCGGTCCTTTGCAGGAAAAAAAACTGGCAGTTGGAGGCGGCTGCTGGTGAGTCACAGAAGTACTCTGTTAAATGGTGGAGTTATTTATTAAATGATGCTGCAGCTCTTTGGGAGGGCTAGTGAGAACATTTTGGTGAGCCTCTGTGTTTTGGATAAAGGCAGATGTTATCACTCTACAGGCCCCAGGGTGGTCATTTCACAGCAACTTCGACAGATAAATCGGTAAAAGCAAGCAAACTGCAGAAACTTAGATAAAGCCTGGCTTGCTTCTTAAGGCTAAGTGGGTTTTCATCCTGATTCCTATGTAGTTAACATTGATTCTTCAAAAAGGCATTTGTTCATCGAAATCTGTTTATAAAGGTTCTAAAAGGCAACCTTCAGTTATATGGAAAATCAGGCCATCTAGGACCCAAGTCTGGTCACTCATGATCATATACTGGAACTTAATAGTCAAATACTTCTCCAAGCACCCATCACAGTATTGGACTCTGTAGGGGTGTAAATGGTCTGTGTCACTCCACTCAGGACTTTTATTTACTATAGATGGTGTGATTTTATTCTAAATAGTAAAGATACAGCATTTGTCTCAACTGGTTAGGCCTTAGTTTATTAAAAAAAAAAAAAAAGATATTTACATATAGTTTAAAGGTAAGAGTATTTCATGTCACTTAGCTTTCCCAGAAATGTGTTTCGCAGGCACACTGACAGGGATAAAGGCATTTTTGTTTTTGTTTCTAAAGTGCATGGGAAGATAACTACCTCGAGTATCTCCAGACTATATATGTTATCAGAATTTGATATTAAGCCACTGTCCCTTAAAAATTGGTTTACTTTAGTGTTATCCTCTGAGCTGAGAAACAGCACAGAAACATACACAATAAAGCTATTTCCCAACTTTCTGACACTAGTGAACATTTTCAAATTCTAAGCTAACCATATGAAATTGTTAGTACAACCTAGTTAACAGAACCTTATTTTAAATGTATATATTCTTCCTAAAATTCAAGTTTTAAAAGTTGTTCGGTGTCCTATAAAAACTGTCACCCATGATTTGTAATTAATAATCTCTTAGTCTCAAACATAGCGGGAGTAAACCAATCCCCTGGGTTAAAGGATGCTGAATTCACTGTTCTCTTCCACTACTTCAGGCTCTCCTTGGATAACCAGGCTGTACCAAGGAAAACAAACATCATGTTCATGATCAGACTAGTTATTTAACGACAGCATACTGACCTAACAGTTAGTGGTTTATTCTCAGATGCCATCACACAGAAGTATGTTAGGTGTAGGCAGTGATTGTATGACTCATGAAATGCGATAGCCAGGGCTGCTCAGTCTCCATCCGCAGTCCTGTCTGCAGGGACAAAGATCAAGTGACCCACCACTCCTGCCTGTGCACCATCTGAGTCAGGGAGGTGTGCAAGAGTGTATACCTGTTGAAAATTGGAATAGCTGCTGATTTAATTTTGCATGAACCCAAAAGATCAAGATTAGTTGTTTGATACCTACCTGAGGCATAGCGCACAGGCTTAAGCAGCTGTGCCATCTGTAAATCATTGTTTTGGAATAGATGCCTGTGATCCCAAGGAAAGCCAGCCAGCCGGCTGTGACAAAGCATGACTTCCTGGAGAAAGAGCTGTGAGCACATACACCTGCGTGAATGGCCTTTTGGGGTGTCTACGTGAAGATAAAATCATGGTTTTTCAGTTATCCTGACATCCCATCTCACTACATAAAAGGTGGTGTAAGGCAACCCACCCTCCTTAATCCACAGTGTAAAAGCTGATTCTTGGGGGATCCCATTGAGGATGATGGGAAAACAGAAAGCAGTTTTAAAAATTGAACCCACAAAAAGGATTTTATTTCCACAATTGTATGCACATTGATCATGAGATGAATAAAGGCTTTGCTCATTAATGGAAAAATTATAGAGAAAATCAACCCTAAGAATTAAGACAAAGGGAGGCTAGACAAGGACTTCAATGTCATAAAGCTACTTTTTTATACCTTTTTAGGTTGCCTTTTCTGGGTGAAAAGTTTAGTGATTTGGTAAAAGGATATCCTACATGAAGAACTTTTCAAGTTGATTGTAATCTGAGTGGGAACCAGGTCCTGCCTTCCGGGGCTGCCAGGGGCACAGTGAGTCCATGCCAGGTGTGAGGCCAGGGCTCCAGGCCGCCTGCCCTCTCTTTGGCCTGGGCCTCGTGTCCTCTCTGAAAGCACAGGGTTCTACCTGGTGACCTGCACTCCTGCACCTCCCATCCTGTGACGTAAGATGTATTTTAATATGCCTCACCACCCGCTTGCCCTTTATAGAGCCTCACCGCAAGTCCCTGTGACTGCCAGTCATTCAAAAGTGGCAAGAGCCTATTTACCTGAAATAGTAACCAACTCAAATCAAAGCTAATTGTCTCTATTATCAGTGGAATTATGGTTAGTCATTTTCAGATAAACATTTAACTTCTGATTTTTAAATCAGTTTTGATAATTGTTTACTACAAGTTAAATGTGAAGACTATGATAAAACCAAGGACTGCACTTCTCTTGCCTTTCTAAACTTAACCGATTTGTAACACTGTATATACCTCCTTAACATCAGCTGTCTCCCCTTTTCCTCTAGTGGTGAAGCAATGGTCTGTCCACAGTAAACCCGCCCCCCCAGTGCTGTGCGGCCCTAGGTGCCAGGGTTTACCTCTGCTTTTGCCCCTTTTTATACCAAAGGTCTAACCCACTGGAGGCTTCTCTTAGTAATGTGGACTTATTACAGATCTTGTTTTGCCCATATATATTCAGCCTTACATATATTCATATATAAGTAAGCATAGATCACAAGCGTTCAAATTACAAGTCACTTAAAAGCATTTTTGTACATTAATGATGGGTTGTTATGTAAGCAGTCTTTTAAAAAATTCTCGCACAAAACACCTTTATAGACTTGTGTAAAACTGTTGCTAGTGATGTCCGTGTGTAGAGCCAGTGCTCTGGGCCACTGATGGTCAGAACCAGAAGTGAACACATGAGAGCCATTTAAAACCAGTTATCATTCCATGCTGACGGGGAACAGAAGAAAGGGGCTGGAACCGCTCACTGAGCACAGCATGGGAAGGGAGCCGAGAGAGCGGAGTTCTGAAGGACACGGGGCCCCTTCATGTCATGACAGAAGAACTCTTCCTATAGGCCGTTTTTTAAACAAGGTATAATCCAGAATAAGCATCGCTGCTGTCGTCGTACTTGAACTTGTGTCCTGTTTCTGTGTTGATAGTCTCATGAAATACCTACTAGCCAACACATTTTGACATCTTGATACAAACACTTCAAAAGTGTCCCCAAAAACCGTTGCAAAAGCAATCTCATTTTCCTACCTAGAGTACATACTAAAACCACAAAAATCACCTTTAGTTGTGTTTTACTTAGTGCAGTTCACAGTATTGTCCCTCTTGAATATTTTGTAGTGATTTCTGTTCCACCCGGACATGAAGTATGTGATTCCAGTTTGATTCAGAGTGTGTGATTCCTCTTTTCATTCTGATCAAGTAAATTTATTGTGTCTATTTTCTGATTTTCAGCATTAAGAACTAAAAAGGAAAAACAATAACATAATATTCTAGTATTAAACATTCTGAGAAACCAGCTCAGCAGGTCCCATTTGACTTAAGTATCTAGAAACTGCCATAAGTGGACTGTATCTCCCACAGCAATCCTATAATGTGAAACTGCCTCCCTAATCATGGACAAGGTGGCAAAAGACACCATATGTATGGCCAACAAGGTGCCACAGGACGAAGCTGAAACTTAAAACTCCGTAACTGCTTAAAATAGCGAATAATGCCCCGTGTCCTATAAACTGACAATATGAAATTCACTCAAAAATTCTGATAAGATCACAGCCCTCACATGCTGCATGAACCCTCTGTTGGCGCAGCTCCCGCCGGAAGCACTGCCTCCTCAGAGCCACTCGCAGCTCTGGTCAGCTGCTGTTACTCCATGAAGTCCATGTGGCTTCCACCATCCCTACTTGATCCATGGACACACAAAGGACATAAAAAGACAAACCACATATGAAACCTAACAGTATCCAGATTCAAACTATTGCACATGATGATATGGTTAATATTTTTATTGATTAAATGACTCCCTTAAATTAATAGTGTCTTTGGAAGTTCTCTAATGAAGTTTGAGCTAATGCCTTTTTCCTCTCATTGCCCTGAAACAAGCAGGTTCTTAAACTGTTTCAATGATACACTCTTAAAATGACATTCATGACATTTTTTCAACTTAAATTTCTCTTTAAGCGCTGACAGAACTTCTTTTGCTTTGCCTGCCTTTGAGTGTTGTACAAAGTCAAGTCCTTAGAAGGATGCAGGGGTAGGGAATGGATGATCCCAAGGCTTCCCTGCAAAGTTGAACAGTGAGTAGGACGCTAGGCTCACTTAAAAGGATGGTGAAAGAGACACAACAGTAAACATACCAGGAAACATGTTATTCAAAAACAGGTACACAAATGAGTGGAGTCAACAATAAAAGAAAAACAGACCCTGTATTTGCTTAAAATTTTGACTGCTAATGTCTTGATCTTAGCTAGGGCAAGCCCCTTAAAATAAATTTAAATGTTTGCTTTCATCTTCCCAACTATACTATAAACTTGAGGAAAGGGGTTCATCTTTCCAAAACTTGCTCACACAATTAATGAGATGTGGATTTTGTTTAATTCTTATGGCAATGAGCTATCCTAGGAAAACTGAATGGAGGAGACAGAACAAGGCCACTAGGGCAGCAGGCAGGCTGCCTAAGGGAAAGATGTGTGGTGGTGAGAACACAGGATGGCCGAAGGGCAGAGGAGTTTGGAGGTGGTGAGTTAGGAGTCTGGGGGCCTTGCCCATTTGCTTCAGCTGATGAAATTGATTTTGACAATTACTGCAAATCAATCTAAGCACATCAAATATCAAATACCTTCAAATCTAAGGAGAATAGGGAACCAGACCTGGTGCTTTTGCAGTAAGAATCCGTAAAAAAGAACTTGAGATGACGGAATGTTTTTGTGATCCTACACAGCTGCCAAAGGTGTTAAAATTTGCTTTTGCAGAGATGAACTGATGCGCCTTGAGGTAGTAAATTGTACACTATGCGTTCACTTGCACTGAACTCCTGGACTAACACTGCCTTCCACCCTGTTCCAGCTTTTGGAGGATGGTGAAAGTTCCTATGCAGTAACTTGAGTTTCCAAACTACCACAAAGATAAAGGTGCAATTCCAGTTTAAAATTGTAAGCCAAGCTTTAAGGAAAGTGTGCTTTGGAATCACAGCTATTCTAGAACTTAGCAAGTGACATACTTGAATGAGCTTATCTCAAAAGAGCAGTGCAAGGAGATGTTACGCCCGGTCCTTTGCAGGAAAAAAAACTGGCAGTTGGAGGCGGCTGCTGGTGAGTCACAGAAGTACTCTGTTAAATGGTGGAGTTATTTATTAAATGATGCTGCAGCTCTTTGGGAGGGCTAGTGAGAACATTTTGGTGAGCCTCTGTGTTTTGGATAAAGGCAGATGTTATCACTCTACAGGCCCCAGGGTGGTCATTTCACAGCAACTTCGACAGATAAATCGGTAAAAGCAAGCAAACTGCAGAAACTTAGATAAAGCCTGGCTTGCTTCTTAAGGCTAAGTGGGTTTTCATCCTGATTCCTATGTAGTTAACATTGATTCTTCAAAAAGGCATTTGTTCATCGAAATCTGTTTATAAAGGTTCTAAAAGGCAACCTTCAGTTATATGGAAAATCAGGCCATCTAGGACCCAAGTCTGGTCACTCATGATCATATACTGGAACTTAATAGTCAAATACTTCTCCAAGCACCCATCACAGTATTGGACTCTGTAGGGGTGTAAATGGTCTGTGTCACTCCACTCAGGACTTTTATTTACTATAGATGGTGTGATTTTATTCTAAATAGTAAAGATACAGCATTTGTCTCAACTGGTTAGGCCTTAGTTTATTAAAAAAAAAAAAAAAGATATTTACATATAGTTTAAAGGTAAGAGTATTTCATGTCACTTAGCTTTCCCAGAAATGTGTTTCGCAGGCACACTGACAGGGATAAAGGCATTTTTGTTTTTGTTTCTAAAGTGCATGGGAAGATAACTACCTCGAGTATCTCCAGACTATATATGTTATCAGAATTTGATATTAAGCCACTGTCCCTTAAAAATTGGTTTACTTTAGTGTTATCCTCTGAGCTGAGAAACAGCACAGAAACATACACAATAAAGCTATTTCCCAACTTTCTGACACTAGTGAACATTTTCAAATTCTAAGCTAACCATATGAAATTGTTAGTACAACCTAGTTAACAGAACCTTATTTTAAATGTATATATTCTTCCTAAAATTCAAGTTTTAAAAGTTGTTCGGTGTCCTATAAAAACTGTCACCCATGATTTGTAATTAATAATCTCTTAGTCTCAAACATAGCGGGAGTAAACCAATCCCCTGGGTTAAAGGATGCTGAATTCACTGTTCTCTTCCACTACTTCAGGCTCTCCTTGGATAACCAGGCTGTACCAAGGAAAACAAACATCATGTTCATGATCAGACTAGTTATTTAACGACAGCATACTGACCTAACAGTTAGTGGTTTATTCTCAGATGCCATCACACAGAAGTATGTTAGGTGTAGGCAGTGATTGTATGACTCATGAAATGCGATAGCCAGGGCTGCTCAGTCTCCATCCGCAGTCCTGTCTGCAGGGACAAAGATCAAGTGACCCACCACTCCTGCCTGTGCACCATCTGAGTCAGGGAGGTGTGCAAGAGTGTATACCTGTTGAAAATTGGAATAGCTGCTGATTTAATTTTGCATGAACCCAAAAGATCAAGATTAGTTGTTTGATACCTACCTGAGGCATAGCGCACAGGCTTAAGCAGCTGTGCCATCTGTAAATCATTGTTTTGGAATAGATGCCTGTGATCCCAAGGAAAGCCAGCCAGCCGGCTGTGACAAAGCATGACTTCCTGGAGAAAGAGCTGTGAGCACATACACCTGCGTGAATGGCCTTTTGGGGTGTCTACGTGAAGATAAAATCATGGTTTTTCAGTTATCCTGACATCCCATCTCACTACATAAAAGGTGGTGTAAGGCAACCCACCCTCCTTAATCCACAGTGTAAAAGCTGATTCTTGGGGGATCCCATTGAGGATGATGGGAAAACAGAAAGCAGTTTTAAAAATTGAACCCACAAAAAGGATTTTATTTCCACAATTGTATGCACATTGATCATGAGATGAATAAAGGCTTTGCTCATTAATGGAAAAATTATAGAGAAAATCAACCCTAAGAATTAAGACAAAGGGAGGCTAGACAAGGACTTCAATGTCATAAAGCTACTTTTTTATACCTTTTTAGGTTGCCTTTTCTGGGTGAAAAGTTTAGTGATTTGGTAAAAGGATATCCTACATGAAGAACTTTTCAAGTTGATTGTAATCTGAGTGGGAACCAGGTCCTGCCTTCCGGGGCTGCCAGGGGCACAGTGAGTCCATGCCAGGTGTGAGGCCAGGGCTCCAGGCCGCCTGCCCTCTCTTTGGCCTGGGCCTCGTGTCCTCTCTGAAAGCACAGGGTTCTACCTGGTGACCTGCACTCCTGCACCTCCCATCCTGTGACGTAAGATGTATTTTAATATGCCTCACCACCCGCTTGCCCTTTATAGAGCCTCACCGCAAGTCCCTGTGACTGCCAGTCATTCAAAAGTGGCAAGAGCCTATTTACCTGAAATAGTAACCAACTCAAATCAAAGCTAATTGTCTCTATTATCAGTGGAATTATGGTTAGTCATTTTCAGATAAACATTTAACTTCTGATTTTTAAATCAGTTTTGATAATTGTTTACTACAAGTTAAATGTGAAGACTATGATAAAACCAAGGACTGCACTTCTCTTGCCTTTCTAAACTTAACCGATTTGTAACACTGTATATACCTCCTTAACATCAGCTGTCTCCCCTTTTCCTCTAGTGGTGAAGCAATGGTCTGTCCACAGTAAACCCGCCCCCCCAGTGCTGTGCGGCCCTAGGTGCCAGGGTTTACCTCTGCTTTTGCCCCTTTTTATACCAAAGGTCTAACCCACTGGAGGCTTCTCTTAGTAATGTGGACTTATTACAGATCTTGTTTTGCCCATATATATTCAGCCTTACATATATTCATATATAAGTAAGCATAGATCACAAGCGTTCAAATTACAAGTCACTTAAAAGCATTTTTGTACATTAATGATGGGTTGTTATGTAAGCAGTCTTTTAAAAAATTCTCGCACAAAACACCTTTATAGACTTGTGTAAAACTGTTGCTAGTGATGTCCGTGTGTAGAGCCAGTGCTCTGGGCCACTGATGGTCAGAACCAGAAGTGAACACATGAGAGCCATTTAAAACCAGTTATCATTCCATGCTGACGGGGAACAGAAGAAAGGGGCTGGAACCGCTCACTGAGCACAGCATGGGAAGGGAGCCGAGAGAGCGGAGTTCTGAAGGACACGGGGCCCCTTCATGTCATGACAGAAGAACTCTTCCTATAGGCCGTTTTTTAAACAAGGTATAATCCAGAATAAGCATCGCTGCTGTCGTCGTACTTGAACTTGTGTCCTGTTTCTGTGTTGATAGTCTCATGAAATACCTACTAGCCAACACATTTTGACATCTTGATACAAACACTTCAAAAGTGTCCCCAAAAACCGTTGCAAAAGCAATCTCATTTTCCTACCTAGAGTACATACTAAAACCACAAAAATCACCTTTAGTTGTGTTTTACTTAGTGCAGTTCACAGTATTGTCCCTCTTGAATATTTTGTAGTGATTTCTGTTCCACCCGGACATGAAGTATGTGATTCCAGTTTGATTCAGAGTGTGTGATTCCTCTTTTCATTCTGATCAAGTAAATTTATTGTGTCTATTTTCTGATTTTCAGCATTAAGAACTAAAAAGGAAAAACAATAACATAATATTCTAGTATTAAACATTCTGAGAAACCAGCTCAGCAGGTCCCATTTGACTTAAGTATCTAGAAACTGCCATAAGTGGACTGTATCTCCCACAGCAATCCTATAATGTGAAACTGCCTCCCTAATCATGGACAAGGTGGCAAAAGACACCATATGTATGGCCAACAAGGTGCCACAGGACGAAGCTGAAACTTAAAACTCCGTAACTGCTTAAAATAGCGAATAATGCCCCGTGTCCTATAAACTGACAATATGAAATTCACTCAAAAATTCTGATAAGATCACAGCCCTCACATGCTGCATGAACCCTCTGTTGGCGCAGCTCCCGCCGGAAGCACTGCCTCCTCAGAGCCACTCGCAGCTCTGGTCAGCTGCTGTTACTCCATGAAGTCCATGTGGCTTCCACCATCCCTACTTGATCCATGGACACACAAAGGACATAAAAAGACAAACCACATATGAAACCTAACAGTATCCAGATTCAAACTATTGCACATGATGATATGGTTAATATTTTTATTGATTAAATGACTCCCTTAAATTAATAGTGTCTTTGGAAGTTCTCTAATGAAGTTTGAGCTAATGCCTTTTTCCTCTCATTGCCCTGAAACAAGCAGGTTCTTAAACTGTTTCAATGATACACTCTTAAAATGACATTCATGACATTTTTTCAACTTAAATTTCTCTTTAAGGGCTGACAGAACTTCTTTTGCTTTGCCTGCCTTTGAGTGTTGTACAAAGTCAAGTCCTTAGAAGGATGCAGGGGTAGGGAATGGATGATCCCAAGGCTTCCCTGCAAAGTTGAACAGTGAGTAGGACGCTAGGCTCACTTAAAAGGATGGTGAAAGAGACACAACAGTAAACATACCAGGAAACATGTTATTCAAAAACAGGTACACAAATGAGTGGAGTCAACAATAAAAGAAAAACAGACCCTGTATTTGCTTAAAATTTTGACTGCTAATGTCTTGATCTTTGACAGTAAAAAAAAATTACCTAGTTTATGGAAATAATCTAAAAATCAAGTTAGGACTTCCATTTTTAGAAACCTCAAACAACTCTGCCAACTTTAATAACTGACATGCTAGATAAAATACAAGATTTTTACAGAATGCACTGTTGAATCAAACCCAAATTCAGGGACTTTCTACCAAATAACTGGCCAGAAAACTTTAAAAAGTCAATGTTGTAAGTGATAAACAAATGGTTCCAGGTCAAAGGACTCTAAAGAGATATGACTCTAAAGATAAATGCACTGTCTGACCCTGGATTTCCTCAACCAGAAAAGGGATATTAATTGGACAATTCACTAAATTTGAATAATGTCCATAAATAAGAGCATCTGTATCAATATTTGTTCATTTTGATCATCATACTACGGTTATATAAGATGTTAGGTATGTGGGTAAACTAGGTGAAGGATATATGGAAATTATTCTGAATGCTGTTTTTAAAATCTAAATTATTTCAAAATTAAAAGTTAAAAAGTTTTTAAATTAAACATTGAAGTGCATTGCTTGTAACAGTAAAAATGAAGGAATCTGCAAGGCCACAAATGAGGTCAAAGTAGCAACTTGTGTAGGTAGTAAGCCACAGAGCCACTTATGCCCTGAGGATTTCTGCTGAGGCCTGAGGGCTTTGGGCTTCTCCCTTCACAGGCTCAAAAGGTGCAAAGGGACAAGAGCCAAAGAAGAGGGCCCCACACAAGGTGAGGAATCAAGAAGGGGACTTCTCTATGAAGCTGAAACTCCACAGGTTCATATCCTTGGTTTAAGATAATGGGAAATAAACCTGGATGAAAATGGACAGCAAGAAAGCCCAGTGTGTGATGGACAGTGACTGCAATGGGGTATGGGGGGGGTGGGACTCGATAATAAGGGTGAATGTAGTAACCACATTGTTTTTCTTGTGAAACCTTTATAAGAGTGTATATCAACGATACCTTAATAAAATATGTCTATATAAAAGAAAGCAAGCCCAGTGTGTAGACAGAACAAGGTGAGTCTTAATGACTGTGCAGGTATATAATTTGAACTCAAATTTCCTGTGTGGTCCAAGAAAAATATCTGAAGAAGAGAAGAGGTTGTGAGCTTGTAGCACCCTCCTGGAGACTGGCAGAAGCAAAGAACCCTCTAGAGCAATTCAACTGTAACTCTGTCCTCAGACCTCCCACAGAGTTCCAAGCAAAGGAGTAGCCCAAGGTTAAAAAGCACAAAACACACGAGGAAACAAAGTATGAGAATCTGCAGAAACAAAGAAAAGCACATGTTCTCTGATACTGAAATTGGAAGACATGTAATACAAAACAACTGTGTGATGTGTTTAAAGATAAAAAGTGTTTGAAAACATGAGCAAGGAATAAGGCCTATAAAGAATGGCCACGTAGAAAGTTTAAAATGAAACATTAATTTATGCTGTGTTTTTAATCTTAATGAACAGGTAAGACATAGCTTAAAGATAAGTTTGTGAACTGGAAGATACGTCTGAGGAAATTATTCTGAATACAGACCAGAGAGAAAAGGAAAATATGAAAAAGATCGTAAGAAACAAGTTGAATGAGATCTAACACACTTCTGAGTTCAAGAAGGAATCAAAATTGGAAGAAGTATCAAAGAGACCCGGGCTGAGAATTTCCAGAGGGACTAACCTTGCCAGATATCAAAACATAAGCTGTTACAACATTTGGTTCAGTGTGAATCAACAGAGAAACCAATGAAGCAGAAGCACCAAGTCCAAAAATAAGACCCAAGTAAGTATTTAGTAAGGTTAGTACTTCAAATCACTGGCTTTGGGGTGGTGTTGGGCCAACTATACAGCCCTTTGGCCAGAAAATTGGCCCCATACCTCACACCATACTCCTGAATATATCTGAAATGAATCAGACCTAATGTAAACATGAAAGCAGAGGATGATTCTGGTAAGATGGTGGCATGGTTTTTGAGTCTCTGAGTCCCTAAGAGCAACTAAATTTAAAAACTAAAAAACCATGGACATTTACAAAACTAGATGGCAGAGTTGTACAGACCCCAAAGCATGAGCGGTCAAGATAAACCACAGATAGCTGGCTGCCCCTTTGCAAGCAGCATCTGCAAAGGAAGCAGTGGGGCAATGGCGCATCTGATAGACCTGAGACCAGCAGGACCTCAAAGCACTACCACAGTACTCCAGAAAGTACCTGGGCCAATGGGCAGACTGCAGCTGGAGGCAGGAATTTCTGCGGGTCCCACAGCAGGTGACCACAAAGTGGCCACGGTAAAGGCTGAGGAGCTGGTGGGCGCTGAGCCCCGTGAACTTCTGAGACCGACCTGCCAGGCTCATTCAGGTGGAGTCCCATGGAGGAAAAAGGAAACTCAGGAACTGGAGTGTGGAGGGAAGCAGTGGCTGAGCAGGTCAGGGACAAGAGGCAAAGCAGCACAAAGGGTCAGGGAAAAAGGGGAACCCCCACTGGCCAAAGATGGGACAACCTGAACCTCAAAAAGGGTAATAAATACAACTGACATCCATTAGTATGTTTAAATCCGTAAGTTCATGTTTTTAAAATCATCATCTTCAGAGGATGACAGGGAAATAATTCATTATTGTTAAAACTGATGAATAAAGAGAAAGAATCAAGCATTATACTGCCTATGTTATGTGAACAAATACACTGAATATTTTTACAATCATTCTAACAGATGAAAGAAATGGCTGGATCAGAATGCCACCAATGAATTAGGCATTGGGCATCAAGTGCTGCTTATGTTGTAACAAGAGAGACATCTCCTGATAACAGAACACACCACACCATTTATCATCTTACCAAGGGTGTTAGCCTGAACCTGAGTCTTAACAAGCCTCTGGATATCAGGGGTTGATTTGTGGGAAACAGAAAGAAAAGAACACACCAGGCCGCACCACTGAATGTACCATGAGCATTATCCAGACAGTGGCAAACTCCAGGTCAAACAGCTTTGGGTGTTCAACATATTGCAAAGAAAACAAAGGAACCAAAAGGGTACCCGTAGACTGAGAGGGACCTGAAGACACACTGAACTTAAGAAAATGGGCAAGACTACACTGTGGTGTCCAGGATGCCCATCTGAGTGATAAGCCACAAAGAAATGCAAAAAAAATGCTTATTAGAAACATCAGGATAAGGGTTACGACCAGGAGAGGGACAATGTGGGACAGCGGCCTGGGGAAGGGCCGCTGGAGGGCAGCCTAAGCTCTAGTTCTTGACTAGGGGACAAGGTGTTTGCCTTCTCAAGACGCATTTATTTTGTGTGTTTTTGTGAATCTGTGTTTAACTTTATGATAGAACTAAAAGAAAAACTTGAAAGAATATTGAACCAGAACAAGTGCAAATTCCTTCCATCTCTAGGTGGGAAATCTTCCTAACCAGGATTCAATATCCTGAATAAAAGAAATGACAAAATTTTTTGAAACTTTGACATGGCAAAACACACATGCAAAAATACAAGACAAACTAGGAAGAAGTACTGGCAACTAACACCACAAATAAAGGGCAATGTCCCTAACATCTAAAGAGCTCTTATGAAATGAGAAAGAAAACACCAAGGACCTAACAGAAAAGCAAATTTAAAAAATGGGAGCCAGAGTCCATGGTGATGCTAAAACAAATAATGTGTGTGATGTGGGTGGGGACCGTAAAGAATGGCACCTATTAAATGTGGGTAACAGGATTAGAAAAGGCATCATTCATTATGCAAGTGTTTTCAATAGATGGTAAAGTCACTCCATTTCAAAGCACGCTGCTCCAGATGACTTCCTAGTTACAGAGAAAATGGACTTCAGCAGGGGGGCCACCTGGTGAGCACCACCTCAGCCCCACCATCCCCGGCTACTCCTTTGTACCCCCTGGTGTGAGTGGACACTGCCTGCAGCTACAAGCACCCACCTGAATCCAATTACAGGGAAACAGAGCCATCCAGAATCCAACACATCCCACTGGCCTGGACTCTTCAAAAATCCAAAATAATAATACAAAGTGCTACTATACAAAGCTGCCCAGAAGCCCTGTGCAAGTATCAGGGCTTTCTGACTGGTGTTACAGGCTGATCCAAGGGCAATATAGCCATTTTGTTGGGAAATCCCTAAATGTCACTGAAGATAAATCTTCCAGCCGCACCTGATGGCTTGAGCCGCATGGATGCATTGACTCTCTGACAGGCCTTCTCATGTAGGGCTTCTCGCCCCTTCACCCTGCCCCCCACGGCCCTTGCATTCAAAGGCTTATGAAGAAAAGAGTCTCTTTCCAACAAAAATCTCTTTCAAAACACTACCGGTATTCACTGCACAGTGAGTTGGAAAGTGAAGGATCACAAAGGGGATTGAAAGCCGACCCCCTAACCCAGTCATTACCTGGCAAGGTTCTGTCATCCGCTGTGAGAGCCACCTGCTTGTCTGTCTCAGATTCGGCCTCATTTTCATCCATGTTGTAGTCACCATCTTCCCCTAGTTTTTGCTGATTTCTCCCTGTAAAATTCACACACACACACATAAAACATGATTTCCAACATTTGTCCCCTGAGGCCAGGTCCTGGGCTTGTCCTCATCGTGGTTTAAGTACCAGATCTATTTGCTCCCTGGCAGGAACTGGCAGGGACTGGTGTGTTAAGGTTAAAGGCAGGTGCCACTGTTTTTGGAAAGAACAGGTTTCTAGTTAATGATGGCATCTCCTCAGCATGGCTCACGGCCCCAAGAAAGGAAATGGAGTGGCTACTGTGAGCCAAAGGATGCGCTTTCCTGTCATACCTACAGAACCAGGTCACTCACCACCTAGCTCTTCCCTAGAGGGAACAGCAACCACCGAAGATGATCAGGACAAAGTGCATTCAAAACATTCACAGGGTTCACTGTAAACATTTTATATATATATATATATGTGGTAGGTCAACAAAATCTTTTTTTAAAAAGCATGCCTGGGAGAGCCAGTCTACTATTTCCGTGCACCCCCAGCCCAAGCCATGCACCCTGCGCTCTCTCAGGCGGTCATGGGCACCCAGCCCGAGGTGTGCTTGCTGGGCCTCAGGCTCTTCAGCTGCTGCACTCTGGGATCAGCTGCGGTCTGAAGCAGAGTGCTGCTGCATCAGCCACCCAAGTTTCCCTTTTTTACTCCCTTTTATTTAACTGAGAATTTGTGGGAACGCACTCTGCAAAAAGACAAACGAGTAAAAGTTAGATTGAAATGGGGTCAGGGTTAACTTCTGCGAATATGCATAGTCCCCAACTTCTGTTACTGGGCTGTCCCAGAGCACAGGTGTCTTCATAAGTGCTCCTACTTTGGCTGGGACAGAAATTTTCCACATCTCCAAAGGACCAAAATACATCCCAGAGTACTCCATTGAGCTCAGTTGCCCACACGTTCCTGTATCTTTTGAAAATAGAAAAAGTCAGCCGCACCAGAAAGGCAGGGTTCAGGTGTCACTTTGCGGCAGGGCTCACTAGGCATGAGATGCTGCCTTCCATCGGCTCCCTCCCACCTCCCCTCACCAGTCGGCAGCCACCACGGGCCATGCAGCCGGGGGAGATGGAGGCCAGGAGCAGGGGCATGGGCTTACTTTTCATGGATGCTAAGCACCCACCGCCAGGCAGGGCACCTGACCGGCCCACCGACCCACTGTGGGTGGTATTTCTGAGCCGCCGAGTGCTGGGATAGGCACTGCCCCGCCCTGCCCTCCTGCCTCCTCCATGAACAGAATGAGCCGCCGGCTCATGAACTGCCCTGTGCCAAACTTCAGGGGACCCTTCCCACATAAGACAAACCATGGAGAGGAGTTGATTCGAGGGCAGTCCATGGGGCCGCGCACCCACCTTCCTCGTCAGCACCCTGCCCCTCCTCCTGCCCGTCGGGGATGACGAGTTGTTCCCGCTCCAGCTCCTCCAGCTCCTGATTTTCCTGGATCGCCAACAGGGCGGCCGGCACCTGGGGGGTCTGGCCACCCTGGGCTTCCCCCACGCCTCTTCTGCCCACTAGGCTGTCATCTTCCCCAGCCTGCCGCTGGCCGGGCTCCCGCGGCAGCCCCAGGCGGTCCCTCCGCAGCTCCTCCTCGCTGATGACCTGAATCTCGTTGGTTTCCTCTGGGCACAGAATACAGTTAGCTGCGACCTCACCATCACCTCACAGAAACAAAACCAAAAACCCTGTACTGCCCAATGCCCGAGCCCTCCTGAGGACTGACGGGGTGGGCTGTGAGCTCAGCAGTGGGCTCCAGGCCTCTATGTCTGCAGTTCACCTTCAGAACCACGAGGAAGAGAAAAGTAGTTCAGAAAAAATCTGGACTAAGTTAATTGAATTGCGGCGACAACGTCCAGGTGGAGGAGCTGTGTTGCTGGGGTCCCTGACCCGCACGGGCCGAGGCAAGCACGCAGGGGCGGGGAACGCCGCTGCGCCTGACGGCCACCCACCCCCTGGGACGCGGTGGCCCTGTGGCTCCCAGGGGCAGCTGCCCAGGACTTGGGCCCCTCCCCTGAATCCCACCGTCCCACCCTCGGCCCGAATAAGGGTGCAGCCGGGCCTTCTTTACACGGCTGCCGATGAGCAAGGCGCTCGTTTCTACGAGTATGCAATGCCAGTGAGACGGGAAAGGCCCCACAGCCCTGACCACAGGCGCCCGGCCAGAGCTCCTGCCGGCCAGCAGCAGCCGGCCCTTTCCGCCGAGGGCATGCGCGGAGTAAGGCCGGGAAGAGCCGCTGCGTTTATGTGAACAGAGCTCTGAAGAGGGCTTCGCCTTACCTGCCAAGCTTCGCTTACCTTTCTCACCTCGCCTCTTCAAATCCAAAGCTGCCTGGGAGCTGGGGGCTGGGGTCTGGGGCTCACTGTTGCTGGGCACGCCTCCTTTTGCAGGTGGCACATCTGCCTGAGGCTGGCCAATTTCCTGCAGCCTGGGCTGAGGCTCACCGAGGGCTCGGAGCTGCAACGGGAGCACAGGACGGCCAGGGCAGGGGCTCCGTGACCGTGAACCTGGCAACACCCCAGGCCATGCAACGGGCCACCATGTCCTTCTGACAAAGGAGAACACCAAGGGCCTGAGGAAGGCCCTCATTTACCCTGGCTGCAAACCAGAAGACCGAGAGCTGAGTCAAGATCTCCCGGAAAGTCCTTGCAATATTTAACAAGCAGGCAGAAGATTAACACAGAAAAGGAAGATTTGGACAAAAGCATAAACCAACCAGACCAAACAGAGGTCTACACAGCACTGACCCAACGGGAGCAAAAGACAGTCTTGTCAAGTGCTTGTGGACAAGACAGACAGATGCCAGGCCACAAGACAAGCCTCAACAAATTTACAATGATGGAAATCACACAAAGTACATCCTCGAGTCACAGTGGAATGAAATTACAAGTAACCGAAAGAAATTACATAAATTCACAAAAATGCAGAAATTAGGCAATATACTCCTGAGTAACAAATGGGTCAAAAAACCAAAAGGCAAATCGGAAAGTCCCTTGAGAAAAATTAACACAAAAATACAACATACCACACTTACGGAAGGCAGCTAAAGCAGTGCTAGAGGGAAATTTACAAGCCTATATACTCAGAAAAAGAGAGAGATCTGAAACCAGTAACCTAATCTTTCACCTTAAGATAGTGGAAGAAGAGCACACTGAATCTAATACAAGGCCACAATAAGAATTAGAGCAAGAATTAATGAAACAGAACAGAAAAACAATAGAGAAAAATCAGCAAAACCAAAATTAGTTATTTGAAAAGATCAACAAAACTGACAAGCCTTTAGCTAGGTTAACCAAGAAAAAAGAGAAGACTCAAATAACTAAAATAAAAAATGAAAGGGGACAACACCACTGATCTTACACAAATAAAACTATTACAAGGGAATACCATGAACAACTATGTACCAACAAGTTTGATGACTTAGATGAAATTAGACAAGTTTCCAGAGACATGAACTACCAAAATTGACTCAGGAGGAATAGAAATTCTGAGCAGACCTATAACAGGAGACTGAATTAGTAATCTAAAAAACTTCTCCAAAGAATCCCAGATGGCTTCACTAGTGAATTCTACCAAACATTTAAGGAAGAATCAATCCAAATCTTCACAAACTTTTCAAAAATACAAGAGGAAGGAACACTCCCCAATTCATTCTATAAGCCCAATTCTATCTACCCTGATACCAAGACCGGCAAACAATTACAAAAATAAAACTACAGACAAATATCTCTTGTGACTATAGATTCCAAAATCCTCCACAGAATACTAGAAAATCAAATATAGCAACATATGAGAGTATTATATACCATAAGTGGGATTTTCTAAAGAATGTAAAATTAAATACCCAAAAATCAATATAATACCAGATCAATATCATAAAGGAAAAATATTAATATATGATCACCTCAATAGATGCAGAAACAGAATTTGACAAAATCCAGCTCTTCTTAATAAAAACACTCAACAAATTTAAAATAGAAAGGAATTTCCTCAACTTGATAAAGTCCTTCTATGAGAAATACACAGGTGACATCAGACTTAATGGTGAAGGTGTGAATGCTCTGTTTCTATGATCAAGAACAATTGGACAAGAATGTCCACTCTCACCACTTCTATTTAACATTGTCTTGGAGGTTCTAGCCAGGGCAATAAGGCAATAAGAAGTAAAAGACATCTATATTGGAAAATAAAATGTAAAACTACCTCTATTTTTAGATGATATAACTGTATATAAAAAAATCTGAAAGAATGACAAAAAATACTATTAGAACTAATAAACAAGTTCAGCAAGGTTAAAATATATGAGGTCTACATCAAAAAGTGAATTGTATTTCAAAACACTAGCAATGAACAATTCAGAAATAAAATTAAGAAAACAATTCCATGTATAACAGCATTAAAGAAACAAATTAAATTGATCAAAAGAAGTGCAAGACTTCTGAAAACTACAAAACATTGTTAGAAGAGATTTTTGCAAGATTTAAACAGATGAAAAGACATCCCACATTCACAGAATGGGAAGACTTAATGTTAAGGTGGCAGTGGGTCCAAACTGATCTACAGATTCAGTAATCTCTGTAAAATCCTCTGTAATCTCTGTCAAAATCCCACCTGGCTTTGTTTAAGAAATTGACAAGCAGATCCTAAAATTCATATGGAAAGTAAACCGGCACAAACCAAAATAATCTTGAAAAAGAGCAAAGTTGGAGGACTCACACTATGATTTCAAAGCTTACTACAAAGCTACAGTAATCAAGACTGTGCAGTATCGATATAAGGATAGACAAACAGAATGGAATATAATTATGAGTCCAGAAATAAACCCTCATATTTACAGTAAACTGACTTTTTACAAGGGTGCCAAGACAATTCAGTGGAGGAAAGAATAGTCTCTTCAACAAATGGTGCTGAGACAACTGGATTTCCACATGGAAAAGAATGAAGTTGAACTTTACATCACACCATATACAAAAATTAAATTAACTCAAAATGGATCATAGGACTAAATGTAAGAGCTAAGCACTATAAAACTCTTAGAAGAAAATATATGAGTAAATCTTCATGACTTTGGGTTAGAAAAAGCATTTTAAAACATGACATGAAAAGAACAAGCAACAAAAGAAAAAACAGATACACTGGACATAATCAAAATTAAAAACTTGTGGTTCAAGGAACACCATAAAGAAAGTGAAAAAATAACTCACAGACTAGGAAAAAGTATTTGCAACTAATTTATCTAATATCTTTATATATATATGAATATATTAAGAACTCTTATAACTCAGTAATAACTCAATTAAAAAATGGGCAAAGGATCCAAACAGACATTTCTCCAAAGAAGATACATAAATGGCCAATAAAGCACATAAAAAGATGCTCAACATCATTAGCCATTAGGAAAATGCAAATCAAAACCACAGTGAGATACCACTCCACACCCACTAGGCCATCTGTAATGAAAGAGATAATAACAAGTGTTGGCAAGGATGTGGAGAAACTGGAACCCTCAGAAACTGCTGGTGGTAATGTAAAAGTGTGATCACTTTTTTAAAAACAGCTGGAAGTTTCTCAATACGTATGTTAATAGAGTTACCATATGACCCAGCAATTCCACTCCTAGGTATATACCTAAGAGAAATGAAAACATGTGTCCACACAAAAATGGGTATGTGAATGTTCATAGCAGCATTATTCAAAAACAGCCCAAAACTGGAAATAACCCAAATGCCTTTCAACTGACAAAAGAATAAACTAAATATAGTATGACTGCAAATTGGAATATTATTTGGCCATAAAAAGGAATGAAGTATTCATACACATATCAACATGGGTGATCCTCGGAAGCATTAAGCTAAGTGAATGGATTGGGATGCAAAGGCCACATATTGCATGATTCCACTGATGTGAAATGTCCAGATAAGGCAAATCTACAGAGGCAGGATGTACATTAGTGGTTATCTAGGGTTTTCGGGATTAAGGGTAAATGGAGAATGAGCTGACAGTTGTGGGTTTCTTTCAGGGTAATGAAAATTGATTGTGATAATGGTTACACAACTTTATGAATAAAAACCAATGAATTATAAATATTATATGAGTGTATTGTATGGGATGTGAATTCTATCTCCATAAAGCTGCTTTATTTATAACAAAGATTCCACAGCAGGCTTTGGGCAGTGGTTTGCGGGACTGTGCTTCACACAGGAGGCAGCCTGACATGAGGTGCTGTGATCTTGGCCACAGTTTTTAGGCACCTACATGAGCTTCGGAGCCCTCAGATCAGGCAACTGGCAACTCTCCTCCAGGGTGGCCATGAGCTTGAACTGAAGGAATCCCAGTAAAGGCCTGAGCACCAAGACTGGCACGGGAGGCTGGCGCGCGCACGCAGATCCCCAGCATCCTGGGCCAAGCTGTTGTCTCAGGGAGCCAAACCCACACGGGAGACCGGACGTTAGAGCAAATCACACAGCAGATGAGGGAATGAGATGTGTGAAGAGAGGGAGGAGCACCTTCCGGAAATCCTTGGCAGAAAAGATCCAGAATTACCTGCTGGCTTTGGTCCTTCTCACTCAGGTCTCTGGAAGCCACAGCTTCGTTGCCCTTCTTAGTGACCTCTTCTATCTGCTCCTCACACTGCTCCTTCAGCTCCTTCATCTGATTGATACACTGGCTCCTTGGGTGAAAGAGAGCCGAAGGACACGACAAGTATTTACAGGGATGTTCACACCACGCCCTGCTGTGACCGCAAACCCACTCAGTACGAGACACAGCTGGTCTTTGTCCTGCTTCTGAAGAGGCCATGTCAGGCAGGCTAACACGGGTGTGTCCGTTATTAAATGACAAGAAAATTGTAATTTGTCACATGATAAACAGGTGAACTTTCCTGGTAAGAAAAAACAATTTTTAAAATACAATCTGTGGTATAATAAAAAATATATTTGGTCTTTGTCCCCAGTTATTAGCACAGAACTCCTTAAACTCTTGGAATTTCCTGACAGGAGTGTCTTCTGTTATTCATAATGAGTCCCTGTGGACCACACCTGAGTTCATGCTAATGAGCTGACTCAGTGGGAGGAGCTCTCGTAGCTCTAGGATGGGGGCTGGTAGCCAGAGGACCCCAACCGCCTGAGCAAAGGGTTGGATCTTCCAGCCTCACTCCACCCTCCAGGGACTGGGGCAAATGGAGACTGAGTTCAGTCATGCAGCCAATGTTTTCATCAATCATGCCTATGTAATAAAAGCTCAGATAAAAACTCTGGAGATGAGGCTTGGTGAGGTTCCTGGCTGGTGAACATACTGATGTACTAGAAAGAGGACCACCCAACTCTGCTGGGACAGGCGCTGCTGTCTGCCCCCACCCCTGCCTTAAAACTATACCTAATGGGTCTCTGCTAGTTAGCTGTTCCTGAGTTGTATCCTCTATAATAAAATTGGGATTTTAAGTATAGCACTCTCCTGAGTTCTGTGAGTCATCCCAGAGACTTATCAAACCTAAGGGGGATAGAAGCCCTGAATTTGTAGCCAACCAGGCAGAAGTACAGATGGCTTGGGGACCCCCAAAACTTGTGGCCCTCATCTGAAGTGGAGGCAGCCTTGTGGGACTGTGCCCCTTCCCCTGTGGGGTTTGTGCTAACTCTGGGTAGTTTCAAACTCAAACTGGATTTCCATTTCCAGGAAGATGGAACAGATGTACTCTTCCCTATTCCTCCCACGAGGCACAATGAAAAACTCTAGACACTACGTACAAAGCAGACATAAGACTCTGAAAGGCAGAGAGAAAGCAGACCAGCTAGGGGACTCAAATCTAAAGAACAACACAGTGGTGTCACTGCAGAACAAGGGGGAGGCCCGCATTTCCACCCCACCTGACGGCAGTCTCCCCCTCAGCCCACGGGGTGGTGTCAGAGGGTGTCAGCAAGGAAGCAGGGCTTTTACACTGACCTCAGTTTCAACTGAAAATCACTCAGATCAAGAACCAAGAAGATCTCTGAATAAAAAGTCACCTGAATGAAACGAGATCATCAACAGAAACCAACATGACAGATCTAAGTTAAAATGGCTGGAGAAATAATTTAAAGCAGCTACTAGTAAAATGTTTCCATTAAAACATTCTTGAAACAAAAAAAAAAGCAGTCTCAAAAAACAGGAAATTTTAGCCAAGGAATAGAAGACATAAAGAAAACCCAAGAGGAAATTTCAGAATTGAAAAATGTATTGACCAAATTTAAAAACTTAAGGAATAAGCTAAATAGCAGAATGGAGGAAAGACTCAGTGAACTGGAAGATAGAACAATAGATATTATTCAATCTAAACAACAGAGAGAAAACAGACTGGAAGAGAAAAGAACAAGGCTTTATGGACCTGCGTGACTATTACAAAGATCTAACATCTAATCTGAGAAGGAGAAAAAAAAGATTTCCTAAAAGGCCCACAAAACTAATAGTTTTTACACGCCCTCTGAAGATATTCCTCTCACTCACTCACCTCTGTGACCATAGGACACCGTCTGCCCTGCCCAGTTCTCTTTCTTTTCTAGAACAAGTCCTAAACTCCCTTCTCTACTTTTTATTCTTTAAGACTCAATTCTAAATGACCTTTTTTTGGGTAATACATAAGCATTCATGAAGATGATCTAGTTTGATTAAGGCACACAATCTAAAGGCACTTTCAGAAAGTGGATCAGTTAGCACTAGGTTTGGCTGGGTGAAACAGAAAGGCCAAATAAATGATAGTGGTCTGTTTTCTCCTCACATAAAAGAAGTCTGGATGTATGCAGTCTAGGGCCAGTATGGCAGCTACAAGTCATCAAAAGTCCAGATTTCTTTCTGTTTCAATATCTTAGCCCTGGTTTCTATCCTCATGATTACCTCATGATCCAAGATGCTGCTAGTGGCCCAACCATCTTGTGTGAATCCCAGAAAGCAGGAAGGAAGGAAGAGGAAGGGTCAAGGAAAGGGATGTACAGTGGACTGTCCTCATTTTCAGAAGATTTCCTATAGTGCCATCCTACAGTTTTCTTTCCCCACTGGCCAGAACTTAGTCCCTTAGCTATACTTAACTACAAGGAAGGACTAGAAATGTAATAATTATGCTGAGGGAAAAGGAGAGAATTGGTTTGGATAAGCAATGATCAGTCTTGCCACAGACAGTTTCAAATATGTTTTGAGCTACAAAACATTGATAAAATAATTAAATAGTGTCTCAAATTGAGAACATTTCCAATTATATAGTATTACATTAATTTAAATGGCTTAGAATTGGAGACATTGGTATGAACTCATGCTTAATATGGATACATACAGAAATTTTTGTCAATGTCTGTGTGCAACACAGGTTACACATAAGTGTCTTTGCTCTGTCAGCTGAGAGCCAATTAGCAATGTCACCCCAGTAGCAACAAGCATACCTAACACCCAGATCTTGGTTTCTAATACCACCCTCCAAAAAAAAAGAGCAAGAAATGGAGGAATAGTTGATTGGGTGGTTCTAGACTGGCACAGGAAATATATGCAATGAGCCTGGAGCATCTTTTGGAGCCAGACTATAAGAAAGTGCTCAAAGAAGAAAAAGGGTAAATACAGAATGCTGAGGATATGGCAACTGGATAATGGGATCATCTGCATAAGTTCCCAATGGCCAAAGCTGGACAATTTGAGGAAAAAGGTCAATGAAATAGTATCAGATTACAACCAAAGTATAAGATAAATATCCCTGAGGCCATATGGATATAAATAAATAATCAGACAGACAAGAAGAGCTAAATCTGTGTGGAAAGATTCCAAGAAGTTCATAGAGATACTCTGCCCTTAGGAAAATGGGGCATAACTCCCCCGTCTGTAAGTGTAGGCTATGCACAGTGACTCTCTTTGAAAAGTTATAGTAGAGAGGAAGAAGTAACTGAGTGTCTTTACCCTGCAGGAACCTGACCAACACAACCTTGGCCAGCTGATCAAGGTCAGCATCAGCCCCAGCGAGTCCCATGGAGCGTGAGTGCCCCTGATTTGCAGTGATGTGAATGGCCCACTCCCTCTGTGGCTTTCCACCCAAGAATGTGCAGTGTCAGTTTAGCCATGAGAAAACCATCAGATAAATCTCAATTGAAGGACATTCTATAAACTACCTGACTAGTACAAATTAAAACTATCAAGATTATAAAAAATCAAGTCTGAGAAACTGTCTCAGCCAAGAGGAGCCTGAGAACACATGATGAATGAATGTGAGGTTGCGCCTCGGAACAGGAAACACAATGGGGATGAACAGAGGAGACAGGAATAGAGTATGAGTTTCAGTTAACAGTAATGCATCCATATTGGCTGATTAACGGTGACAAGTGTACCATACTAATATGAAGAGTTAACAACAGGGAAATGGGTTGTGGGGAACACACAACTCTCTATACTATCTCTGTGATAATTCTGTAAACCTTAATCTGGTCAAAATTTTTTAATTTATTCTTGAAAAAAAAAGGATTGAACTGGAAGACACCCATCTGGTGTCAGAATTGTTGGGACATACAATCTAATTCAGCCTGAGCTCCCAGTTAGCTAAGATATTTTAAGGCATTGCTTCAGCTTTCTGCCTGCAATTTATTTAGGAGCATCTCAAGTGTCAGACTGTGAAGCAATTGAGAAAACTCCCCATTTGTACAAAGGAGGGAGCAAGGTGGTAATATGAATGACTCTGACCAGGGTCACAGAGAGAAAGTGACAGGACTGAAATCAGAAGGTCCCCGGACTACGCAGGCTCTCTCTAACCCTCTTCTGAGTTGTAGGCATTTCATGGCCAAATCTCAGTGCACTCAACCTGTAACCCTTGTAATATGCCCTTTGGTTCAAAGGACTTGCTGGGTCTCAACGAACTACGCACACAGAAGGGTATCAGGTGTGATAGAAATAACAGAAGATATTCTGATTTTGGACACTCACAGATCAAGAAAACATTTGATGAAATTCCCACACACATGCAAGTCATTGTGCTAGACTAGTGCCCAACAGCTTAAACACACAAACAAAAAAGACATCTATATCTTCAAACAACTAAACATGTCCAATTCATTTTCTCAGAGCCTCAAGATTAGCAAATGTGCAGGTGCACGTCCATTCTGAACCTTTAAACTTGCAAAAGGTAAATGCTGTTTTCACCTGCTCTCAGCCTTGCCAAAATCAAGTACAAAGAGCCTCTGTCTCTTGGCCTTGCAGACGAAGGTCAGCCTCCCCCATTCCAGCTTGACAACAATAAGGAAACAACCTCAAAATAAAGCTCAAATTCCAAGACACAGATTATGGGCGCTAAATGTTTAAAGCTCAAATTCCAAGATACAGATCATGTGGGCTAAATGTTCTTTCTTATATGTACCAGATAAATGTAGTAGTTTCAAACTCAAACTGGATTTCCATTTCCAGGAAGATGGAACAGATGTACTCTTCCCTATTCCTCCCACGAGGCACAATGAAAAACTCTAGACACTACGTACAAAGCAGACATAAGACTCTGAAAGGCAGAGAGAAAGCAGACCAGCTAGGGGACTCAAATCTAAAGAACAACACAGTGGTGTCACTGCAGAACAAGGGGGAGGCCCGCATTTCCACCCCACCTGACGGCAGTCTCCCCCTCAGCCCACGGGGTGGTGTCAGAGGGTGTCAGCAAGGAAGCAGGGCTTTTACACTGACCTC